GGAGGAGGGGAAGGAGGACGAGGAGGCGGAGGAGGACGAGGAGGAGGGGGAGGACGAGGTGGAGGGGAAGGAACCTCCCGCTGGGCCTCGCCTCTCCGACTCGACCCCCCCCCGCCTCCGCCTGGGCTCCTCCCCCCCGCGCTGCGCCCCGCTCCGGCCAGCTCGCGCAACTCGGCCCGGGCCGAGAGAGAGCCGGCAGGGCGCCAGGGAGGAGCCGGCAGGGCGGGGTGCGCCCCCGACGGCAGGGAGGCATCCCTCAAGCAGTGGCGAAGCGTCCCGGCTCGCCTATAGCCCCACCAAGCAATGTTCTAAGAACCTTTTGTGGCTCCCACGAGATGTTCTTAGAAGATTTCTGGCTGGGACTGGCTCGTTTTAGCACATCGGGCTTATGTTCTGAGAACATTGTTTTTGTTCTTCGAACATTCTTGCGGTTCTAGGAACATTTCGTGGTATGACTATAGGAATGCCGGGACGGTCGGTCCCTGCTCAAATCCCGCGTCGGTCGGCCGGCCCCCGCTCGTGGTGTGGCGGGCCGACGGGCGTCTCGGGGAGGAGGGCGCGCCGAGGGGGGAGGAGGCGCCGGCGCCCACGGCCACGGGCCTCGCAGAGCGAGCTGAGCCCTCGCCGCGGGGTTGTGGGTCGTCGCGGGCCTACCGCGAGCCGCGCGTTCCGCCGGGAGGTCTCCGTGGAGGCGCTGCGGGAGGCCTCGGAGGCGTGCGCGGAGAAGGAGAAGGAGGCGCGCGTCGTTGTGGGCCGGGCGGCGCCTCTCTCGACTCAGGCGATGGCCCTCAGGACTCCTTGAAATTTCGGGGATGTTTCGGGCACGGTCGTGTGCGATTTGTGGGAAGTCCAGAGGGCCACCACCCAGGACTTGTTTTTCATGAGTCCGTCGGAGATAATAAGAGTTACTAGGATTTCCTTTGGGCCCCGCCCCAAATCGTGAGGATTTCTCAAGAGGTCAGTAGGACTGCTTAAGGGTTCCGGGGGGCTCAAGATTTTCTCGAGAGTGCGCTGGAGGCAAGTCTTTTCCCAACCATCCTGTGGTCCTGGTCCTCGTTTTGAAGAGTCAGCGACCCGCGTCTCACGTCCTCCCGCCTTCCATCCCTGCCTCTGCCTTTTGTAGTAAATCATGTCGGCACACCCTCACACGTTTTGTGGCCCCAAGAGGAAGCCCCACCTGAGGTCCCAGTGCCGGCGCCGGCATGGCCCCACCGCGCCAAATTCGGCACACCCTTCATACGTTTTGTGGCCCCACACGGAGCTCCACCGAAGGCCCCAGTGGCAGCGCCCGCATGACACGACCGCGCCCATGTCGGCATGCCCTTCACACGTTTCGTGGCCCCAAGGGAGTTCGACCGAAGGCCCCAGTGGCAGCGCCCGCATGGCACCACCACGCCTATGTCGGCATTCCCTTCACACGCTTCGCGGCCTCATGGGGGGCCCTACCAACGGCCCTGGTGGCAGCGCCCGCATGGCGCCACCGCGCCCATGTCGGCACATCCCTCACAGGTTTCGTGGCCGCATAGGTAGCTCGACCGAAGGCCCCAGTGGCAGCGCCCGCATGGCACAACCGCACCCGATTCGGCACGCACGCTTCGTGACCCCATACGGAGCCCCACCGAAGGCCCAAGTGGCAGGGCTCGCATTGCACGTCCACGCCCACGTCGGCACACCCCTCACTCGCTTCGTGGCTCCATAGCTCGATTCTCCGAAGGCCCCGGTGGCAGCGCCTGCATGGCACCGCCGCGCCCATTTCAGGACGCCTCGCACATGTGTTCGCGGCCCCATTGGGAGCTCCACCGACGGTCCCAGTGGCAGCGCCCGCAGGGTTCCACCGCACCCGATTCGGCACCCCCCTCACAGGTGGCCCCACGGGGAGCCTCACTGAAGACGATACTCACAACCGCGGCACTCACAACTTCACATGGTTGGGTCCTTGACCAGGAGATTGTTTTCGCGCTTGCGAAGTACGGCAGGTTCGTGTCGTGACGATGCGGCGGAACCCCAGCGCAGGCGTTCGAGTGTGAACGCCGCCAGTGGCCTGGAATCCAGCGATCTGTGCTATCGGGAAGCAACGAACTTTCGAGTTTGAAGGACCCACGCGGTGTCAGAGAACCGAGTCCGTCAGCATGCGGACCTGTCGCAGGCGCAGCCCGCCTCCTTGCATTCCTTGGGGCGCGGGCGAGCTCCATTACTCCGCCCGCTCCGTTGTTCGCCTGGCACTCCGCTGAGCGTGTCGACCAAACGTCGCCCTCGCCTGACGCGAGCCGGGTGTGGCGCCAGCCTCCGAACATGCAGCGTCGCCTTGCTGCAGCACGGAGCGCGGTGACATGGGCTGCATGAGCTCAGGCTGTTGCAGACCGCGTGCGGGAGCGAGGGAGGAGCGGGGGCAGGAGGAGGCGGAGGAGGTGCAGCGGGAGGCGGGGGGGGCAGCGGATCCCGCACGGGCAAGGCCGTTGGGGCCCAGGGGGCTCCCCGGGTTGCGCCCGAGCCACGCCAGCAGAGGGTTCAGCCTGCCCCCCGCGCGCGATGCCGAAGCGGAAGATCGGCGAGGTGGACGCCTCTGACGAGGACCAGGCGGAGGCCGAGCTGATGATCTGCATGGCGGCCGCGCAGGGCGCCCCGGCCGACGCCAAGGTCGCGGGGCTCTTCTCCGATGGAGGGCCCATCCACTTCAAGGTACGGCCCGAGGGCCCTGCGCCGAAGCAGTACGCGCCGGGACTGCAGCCGGGCGACAAGCCGCTGGTGTACATCCGGAGGCTGCCAGAGGTGGTGTCGGCCCCAGGGGCCCCCAGCTTCTCTGTGCTGTGGAGGTCGGGGGGGCCCTCGGGGCCTCGTGGGGCTCTGGAGGCCAGCCGCCCGGGCCTCCCCAGGGAAGCTGGGGTCGCCTCGGGCCTGGTGGGCCAGCTCTGGCAGCGCCCGGTGCGTGTACTTCGCCATCAAGGGCCTGGGCCAGGTGCCGCGCCTGATGCTCGCCGAGGCGGGGGCCTCTTACGACGACATCGCGGTGACCGGTAGCGAGGACCAGGCGGCAGTCTGCAACTGGCGGGCGCGGTCGCCGAACGGCCTTCTGCCGACGATGTCGGGGCTCGGCGTTCCGCGATCGGCGCCTCTAAGTCAGAGCGGCTCCATCGTCCGTTTCCTTGGCAGCAGGCTCGGCATGGCCGGCCAGTCCGAGCTCGAGGGCGTGGCGGCGGACGTGATGATGGAGACCGCGAAGGACCTGACGGCGCACAAGAAGCTCGTCGCGTCTATGCCAGCCATGGACGACCAGGACGGCGCCGCAAAGGGGCCTTGGGCGCTTGCCTCGCGCCTAGAGAAGATGCTGGAAGCGGCACCATCGCCGGGCGACGATACGGCCGCCATCACCTACGGCCAGGTGCAGTTGCTGCACGCTCTGATGTCGTGCGAGGCGTTGGCGCCTGGCTGCGTTAAGCACATGAGCGAGGCTCTTAGCAGTTTCATGGCTGCCATGCTAGGCAGGCCGCGGATCAGAGCTTTCCTGGAGTCGAAGCTGAATTTCCCCTGGACAGCGGGGGAGCTCGGCAAGGAGGGGGGCTACGTGTACGAGGGTGGTCCTCTCGTGAGAGGTGGCATCAAATAAGGGCGTGTTCGAGACGGTGGGGGGCGGCTCGGAGCGTCTCGGTCGAGCGCATGGTTTTGGAGTCTGCCAGCGAAAATCATACATATTGGTTGATTCCTGTAGCCTCGCCTTTCATATTTCTATGGCTCCGTGGCTACTCGGTGACACGGTTGATTATCAATTAGTATAAGGGACAAGAGCGGACACGTATTGAATTGTTGCGCCAGTCGAAACTGCGCGAGTTGAAAAGAGTGCCTTCCAATGCATATCGCGCATGCGTACACATGCATGTACATCGAAGGAGCGTTGGCATCCGGAGAGATGTAGAGCCTGTTCTCATGCAGGTCGCGTGCTTGTGCAGGAGTGTCGAATCATGCACGCGCGAACTTTGCCTCCTCCCCCTCTCACTCCAACGTTTCCCCTCCCTCGTCTGCTGATCCCCCTCTCTCTCCCACTCCCGCTGCTGATGATCCTCCTCACCCCTCCTCCCACACATCACCCTTCCCGCCCCACCCCCCCTTGTTCCAATCCCCCCTCCTCGCCCTAATCTCCCCCCCTCGCTCCAATTTTCCTCTTGCCCCAATCCCCCCCTCCCCGCCCCGATATCCCCCCCCCCCTTCTCGCCCCAATGCTCCCCTCCTTGCCCCAGTCCCCCCCCCCTCCTTGCCCCAACCCCGCCCCTGCCCCCCTCAGCCGCGGCCGTCGTTCGGGCCCGCCCGGCGCCCTGGCCTCCAACATGTGCCGCCTCCGCCCCGCGCGGCGCGCCAGGCGTCGAGCGCGTGCGTCGAGGCCCGGAAGATCATCTCCGTCAAGCAGAGGGAGGCCCGCGGCGCGCCGAGCGGAGGCGAGGCGAGGCGAGGCGAGGCGAGGCGAGGCGGCGGAGGGGGGCCGGGCGGCCGAGCGGCGGGCCCGGCGGTCCCGGCGGGGCTCGGCCCAACTTGCGCCTGGAGCCGACGATTCGGGGGCCCCCAAACGGGGCGGTGACCACACCGTGCGGTGAGTCGGTGGGGGTTCGGGGTCACCGCACGGTCTTGGGACTCGGGTCGTTCTCCGAGGACGCCTCGGGCGACAGGGGCCTCCAGGGTCCCAACACCGTGCGGTGGCGGACCCTGCGGTGAGGTCTTGGGGGATTTCGAGGTCACCGCACGGTGCGTCACCGCACCGTTTCGGGACGCCAAAGACATGGCTACGGTACCCTGGGGTGGACGAGGCAACTCGCTCTCCTCGTCTCCTGCCGCGTGCCGCGCCCCTGCCCTCGGAGTGTGTCGAGCCCCTCGCGTGCGTGGGGATGCTTTGGCGAGCATCTGGGGAGGGCTCCGGGGGGTGCCCGTGGGAGCTTGGCGTTGGGAGGGAGGGGGGGGGGGGGGGGCGAGGCGGCGGAGGGGGGTCTGCCGGCCGGGCGGGCGCCGCCGCGGTC